CAGGTGAGGAAGTCTGTAACAGATTAGGTATTAGGTGTGCGCTTATCGTGGATATAAAGCAATTAAAAGCACCTTTTGCAAATGGCTGCTAGCCATATCAGATACTAATAAAATATGAATGACGGTGCATTCAGACCAAAAATAATTCAGGCTTTAGGGGCGTAGAGCAAAGACACTCTTTTGAAAAGCAGAGGACTGTTTCTGCAAACAAGCATTTAGGGGGCAGAGTCATGAAATGGGAAAGTGATTGGCTTTATCTCTATGATGGTCGTGTATTAGGATTCTTCGACAGAGTATTAGGGACAGGCTACCGATTTTTTTTCCCTCTTCTATTTCGAGAATAAACTCGTAAAATTACAAGAATAAAGTCGCAACGAGAATAGTCATAAAATTACGAAAATAAAATTGTAAAGTTATGAGAATAAACTGGTAATATAACGGGAAAAAAGTCACAACAAGAATTGTCATTAAATTAAGAGAATAAAGTCTTAATATTAAGAGTATAAAGTCCTAAAATTACAAGAAACAATTTGTATTTATGACAACTTTTAAAAGAAGCACTGTTTTCACTAAAATGAGGAATGTGGAGCATCATGTGAAGTTATACTTTGGCTCTTGTTTGACAAATAAGGAAATCTTTTAGCACAGGCATTAAATAGGGCAGCATGTCAAAGTGGACTCAGGCTGCTGATTGGAGGAGCGGTTTGACCATCGTATGCTGGTCGGAGCTGAAGCTTTCTTTCTGAAATGGGTTGTGGTATGATGACTTTATTCTTGTATTATTATGTCTTTATTCTCAAAATAATTTGTTTTTTTTTTAAATCTCTAGCCTGCCCTAATACTCCGTTGTACGCTTCCTTGACGCTGGAGGAGAATGCAAAAAAAATCCAATCATTTTGCTAATATTCGACTCATATCCGACTTTCATACAGGTGTCTGATCGACACAATCTGATCTTTTCAAGCATAATAAAGTATGATAAACTTTGCATTTAGTCATTAGTATGAAAAACTGCGCTAAACAGATTACATTTCATCAAAAAAAAAATGTAACTGACCATCAGGGCCTGCTGTTTGAACATAGCCTTGGAATGGCCTAGTCAAAGCCCAGACCTAAATGCACTGATTCTGCGCTACAATGTTAAAAGCTGCTGTCCACAGTCTGGAAATAAAATCAGAGGCGGTTCTGGAACAAATTTACCAGCGGGGGCCATGATGTAGCCGCAGAACTAAAGTATAACTTACCAAAAAAAAAAAAAAAAAATGACAATAATGAGTTTCTTAGTTATGAAATGAGCCACAAGGCCAAGGCTTCAGACCCCTGATTGATCAGAGGAAAACTCTAGTAATAGTAATAATAACCAGTTATTCTCTCCTTATATTGATTGATGGAATTATGTTTATTTGATTTTTATCTGGAAGCTCTTTAGTTGTCACTACGTTAACATCTACTATTCCTGGGATTGTTTCTGTAAAACCACATTCACAAGAAAAAAAAAAGAAAAAATAAATCATATGAATTAAAAGAGAAAATAAGCATTTTAACAGACATCAGCTATGACTCATAAAGCAAAGAATTTCTCAGGAGTTTCGTAGAAGGGGTTTTTCCAGATACTTCTGCGTGTTTACAGTGCAGGGGCCATAACATGGGAAAGGACCCCATTTGGCCCCATAAATGAGATAATTTGCCTCCGTATCCAGATGTTCAAAGCTGATAGAGACTGGCCTAAAAGGTCTTAAACCTATAAATGCAGTAAAATATGATTCAGCAAAGTTCTCACCTAAAGAGGAGCTACATCAAAACATGAATTTCAGGTTTTTAAAGTTTAAATGTTTCAGAAAGCTTGGTTTAAAATGTATAATTATTATATACTTTTTGCCTAACGTGGCAAAACATGTAAACATTTAAAGTCTATGAATAGTCAGGTGATGATCTGCATTTATCCTTGTTTTATGGAAGTTCTTGACTTTCTGCTCTGGTGTTTCTTCTTCTATGGTTTTTCACTTTAGGCCCTAAACAGCCGCACCGTCTGCAGACGAATACTGCAACTTTATAAGCGGCGCTCGCTCTCTCTGCTGAGGGCCGCCTACAGACATACTGAAAACAAGCTTTTGAAGAGCTCTCAAAGATAAGTCAACAAAACAAGCAGACTTTTAGAGGCTTAATTACCTCGGAAGCAGCTCGCGTCTACAAATATTTATTAAGCCACAAAAGCAGCATGGGCTCCAGAGCCGGAGGGCTGCTGCTTGTTAACAGAAACGTAGAGAGGGATAGGATGTGTTCCAGGTAACTGGAGCAGACGTGGATTTATATTTAGTAAGCTAGAGTAAAGCAGGAAACTAAAACAGCTCTGCTTTAGGGGGGAACACACTTTAAAGGCTCCAGAGATCCTGGATGCATCTTCATGTTTATTCCAGTGTGTTTCTGCTGAGTGGAACTGATTCAACTCATTAGCCGAACTGTTGACATGAAATAAAACCAAGGAAACATATAAATTCATGTTTCTTTGTGTTTGACACAGCAGGACGATGGTTAAGAGAGAAAACTATCTAATTAATCCATATTGGTTCATTACCATAGTATCCCCATTACAAATGTTTATAGTTAAAAAGAAGGAGCTAAAAGTTCAGCTCACAAAGATGAAAAAAACTAGCTCACATTCATATATCACTTTTCGAAAAATGTTAAAAAAAAGTCCATAAACCTAATTTGAAGTTCATTCGGTAAATTAAGCCACAATCCTCCACAATAGAACCTCATATTTCACCCTTTAAAGTCGTTTCTCGTGAGTCATGAGCGGTGCACGACTTTACACGAGTGAATAAAGTGAATGTGATTGGTCGTTTATCAAGGGGGTGGGATTATTGTGTTATCCAATGAAAAGTGCAGCTATCAATTCTACACAAACGTGAGCTGTGTGTGTCGCTCATTACTCACAGCGTAAACGTCACTATCATTTATGTTCATTAAGCCAAACTGATCCGTTCAGTTCACCGTTAACTAAAAATACGAAAGTATTTAGTGAACGCTGCTCATTGAAAGCGTTCATGCACAACACGGCCCATAATTACCAGGTAGTAGCCTGAACCAGGTTAGTTGAGCCAAATGAATTTCAAAGAGCAGGTTATAAAAAAACAAGAAGCTCAAAGATCAAGAAAATCAGCCTTGTTTTAACTCAGTTTGATGTAGAGCATCAAACTGAATTAAGAAAAGCTGAAATTTAAACAGTGTTAGAGTCAAGGCTGGTTCATAAATCTAAAAATAACACGTTAAACTTTATCAGATCCCCATTTCAGAAAGAAGGCGGTCTTATCCTGAGTAGCTCCACCCACATCTGCTCTATAAACAGTTTCATTTTACCGAGCAGGTGATCACTATGAAAATAAGGAAGAGAGATGCCCAGTTTGTGGCCACACCCCCAGGGTATAAGTGGGTGAAGTCCTTCAAAGGATGCCTCCTTGTCTGATTCGTTCCTCTGCCCTGGGGGTGTGGCCACAAACTGACCTGCAAAATGTTTATGTGGCATATCTACCACATAGAATTAGAGTCAACAGATAGGATATATATTTACAGGTTTAGATATAAGGTACATATTTAAGACTTAGAAAACAATCTAAAAATCATAAAAGGATATAGGATGTAGAAACAGATTAGATTAATAAATATGGATATAATGTGACCCAAAAATTGTTTACTGGTAAAAATGTTACGTTCTGTGTTTCATAATTTTTGTGTTTATAGAAAATGTGTCTATGTGCAACATAACAGGCAGCCATTAATGATAAGATTCCCTAATTATGTAAAGTACATAGAGTATTTTAATATGTCTTTATTCAAGCTAAACTTAGGAAGGTATATTCCTCTATAAAAGATAAAACATCTAATCGCACTCTAAAGAGGAATTTGAGACAAAAAAAAAATAGAAACTGAAATTGATTTGAATCTGGAAATCTAAAACTGCAATAAAGAAAAGAAAAAAAAGTAATTAAAATACTAAATAAATTTAGATTCAACTCTTATTATTTTGTGTTAAATAAAAATGTTCCAACTTATATTTTTCCAGTTTTAACTAAGAGTTTACAAACATTTTGAGCCCTTTCTGACTCCATACATTTCACTTCACGAGGTGCATCACTAACCCTGCTTTGTGAAATAAAGCTCTGTAGGTTCCTAATCGTTTCAGTAAACAAAAATTTTATATAAAAAAGGTTTTTATAGTGTTTATCTATTTAAAAACAGACAGAGGAACTCCAGTTAAATATAAATAAAACTATTACGCGTAAAAAAAATAACTACTCATCATCTCTCCACAGACCCCTCCTCTAAAAGCTCATTCCATCCCTTTCATGTGTAAAATGGTTTCTCTATTTAGAGCATTTTTCCTTTGCCACAAAAATGGACAAATCTGTTCGGCAATGATCTGTGGGCTTTGATTGACCTTTTTATTTTATTAATTTATTCTCTTTGTTTTTATAGGCTGTGAAGCTGATTTTGTTGGTTTGTGTTTACACTGTAGATGATGAATTCAGTGTTTGTTTATGATGTTATCGATTAGAATTTCTTATCTATTTATCTGTTTTCTAACTTTTAGATGCCGTGCACATACTTTTGGTTTACCAAGAGAACAAACTTGACATGTTTGTCAATTTCTTTATTTATTTTTGACAGAGGATTGGCTGAATTTAGGTGTTCAGGCTGATGTATAACTAACTGGCCTGCATAAGATAACGGAAAAAACACAGATTTTAAGCAGGATTTTTTTTTTTTAAATATAAATTTTCTACATTTTGAGACAATATCATCTGATAAAGAGTACATTTATATACATGTTTAGGCAAGAATGATTTGAGAATTAAATATGACTTCCCTACGATTTTAAGCTTGATCCTAATTTTTATGACCTTTTTTTTCTCTGTTGAATCAAGAAAGAATAAAGGACTGATATTTGTTCCACGCTAACCAGCAACTGCAAACCATGAGGGGAAAAACCAGAGATGTACCTTTCTTCTGCAGTATTGCACTCCCGCTGCGCCTCCCGATGTTGTTCTCAACATAACAGGTGTAATTAGCCAGATCCGCCTCCTCCACAGCGTCAAATGTCAGGGACAGCTGCACTACCTTCTCACCTAAATGTTCCCTCAAGATCCTGAAAAAGACAAGAGCATACAGATTAAATCTCTACCGTTGTGCATAATTTGAGACTAAAAAGCGTTTGTAAGCAGCAATCTCCAAGAAGCAAGCATCTCTCAGAGACATGTTTTTATATATTACTCATCTATCGAAGATAGAAAATCCCCCTGCCTTGTTTTTGGTATGAATTTCTTCCAATTTAACTATTTTGTTAAAAAGTTGGATTTTGTGAGAACAACTCAGAGCAGTTTGAAGCTTGTTGGAAAGAACCCAACCAGTACTGCCACAGAACCTTGTTCTTCCTCCTTGGCACAGTGTGTGCTGGTAAAAGGCAGCTTTAAAGGAATGTGAATCTGCCTGCATGGGAAACACACAGGCCTCAAACCCTGTAGGAGTTTGCACATTTTGACCATGACTAGAACAAACGCTTCAGAAGTATTTTCTATGCACTATGATCTCAGCGACCTGAGAGTTTGGAGACCTTCAGTGTGAGCTGCTTCCATCATTTTTTATTTACCTGCCACGTTGTCATAGTAAAGATTCCAGACCACGACAGACATTGGCTGTTTGTAATCTACTGTCAATGTGTTGCAAACTGGCATAAGTTTCATAAGTTCAGATTTTTGTCTTAAGAGGTCCATAATTTAAATACGATACTTAAGTTAATTTCTTTACCTACTGACTTTATAGAAGGAGACTGTTGCACTGCTTCCTTAAGCAAAGAAGAAAAAGAATAATGGACTATAGCTACGAAAAATATGAGAAACATTTCCCAGATGTCTAAAACCTCTGTTTTCATGGGCATTAAAGGTATTATGGAGGATTTTCACGAGTATTTTAAAAGATGCGCTTCTCCACGCGTGCAACAGCATGCACAAGCCCATTTCTCCTCGTGCACGCTATGTTTAAAAGTTGCTGTTCTCATAGCTCATAGAATTTTACTGTGTCCGAACGTCCGCCCTCCCTATGCATAGCGGGGACTATATAGTGGAATTTATAATGAACTCAGTTAACTGATCGTTAGGACTGATGGTCATTACTTTTTGCTCCCTGTTGGTCTCCTCCACTGCATGGTGCCTGCTCCATCTTTGTTATTAGTTGCTGATGTTGGGTAGAGTAGAGACTGACATTTTTTCGGGAATCCCACGGGAATCCCGTGGGATTCCCGTGGGATTCCCGTGGGATGGGAGTCAGTATTAGTAACGATCACGTGATTGGGACGGTACAGGATTAAACATTAACGGGAGCAGACGGGAGCGGGAGCAAACCAATAGTAACTAAAAGAAACTAGGATTGATGCCAAAAAATAAAATAAAATAGAAAGAAAAAAAATCCAGTACTTGCGCCGCCATTTTGTAGTTTTTTTCCTTGAAGCCTACACTATAATGCGAGTCAAAAAAACTACACAACCCAAAAACCAACAGTGCTTCCGCTCTGAGTTTTTCACCCGTGCTCAAAAACAACAAGAATGGGAGTGATGCAGGAGCGGGAGTCATTCTGAATGGGAGTGGGAGTAATTTCACCAGGAGTGGGACGGGACAGGATTTAGATTTCTACTCTGGCCCGGGATCGGGACGGGACACAATTTTTGTCTGTGGGAGTGGGACGGGACAGGAGTGAAAATCCACTCCCGTGTCAGTCTCTAGGGTAGAGACAGACTATTGTTACCGCTGAGACAGCAATTTCCATAATGCTTTGCGCAGAGCTCTGAACACAAAGGAATCCGGGATATATCTGCCTCTTCTGAGGCCTTTCTTTTCCTCTTATACACTTCGTAGACACTTTTTCTCTTACGACCCTCGGCCATTTTTAAAGAACTGCAGGGGAAAAGGTGAGCTTCACTGACTGGCTAAAACCATATAGTAATAGTCATTCAAAATTTCCCCGCTTAACTTGATGGGTCCCTGGCTGGTCCCCTTTTATTACTTTTTAAACATTGATATTTTTATGAAAATATTCTTTCTGTCAACATTTGTGGACATTAAGATCTAAAGAGAAGCACCATTGCCTCGTCAGACCTGTAATTCAGTGAAAGGGTGGAGTCAGAGTAAAAAGTATGCAAGAGAGGGTCACTCCAGTGGCTGGAAGTTGGAGGGGATTTCGCTGGGAGTTGGAGGGTAGTGGGCTGCCATTTGGCTGGCGTTTGACGGGGAAGGTACATTTTAAATGGCTGTTACTGTAGCTCACAGCAGATACAACAGGCGTATACCGTAAATTCTCTAATATTGGCCTGTATTCCATTAGCGGCCTGGACTCTAACATTGGCCGGTCTCGCTGTCACAGGAGGTAAATAATGTTCGGTCTCTCATACAGGCCGGGGCTATAAACCTCAACATTATACTTGTGGTAGTAACATACAAGTACCACAGCCCTGCGCTGCTGGACGACAGGCCCTGACTGCTGCCCGTCTGCGCGAGGAAGAGAACAGACACGCAGCAGAACATGAGGAGGACGAAGAGGAACTGTACAATAATTAACTTGTTATAGAGACTGGCGCGAGTGATGAGGAGATTAAAGGGAGAGATGAAGAGGAGGAGGAAACTGAGGAGGAGGAAACTGAGGAGGAGGATTAAACAGAATTGTAGGATTTTTTTTTTTTTTACTTCAAACCAAGCGAGACATGGTAACTGTACTTTTTCAATAAATGAACCTAGTGTTTTATAGGTTCAAATAGACACAAAAGCTCATTTTTATTCCTTCCACTGGTAGTCTGTTTTGCTCAAATAGCAATAGAGGCCTGTCTCTAATTCTGGCCTCTTTCCAATAAAGGCCTGGACCGCGATGCACTTGAGTGAAAAAAAAGGCCCGGGCCTATATTAGAGGATTTACGGTATATCTACACACCCAATGATCCGATTGGGTGTGTAGATGCCAATTGGAACAGAGTTCGTAAACAACACCTCTCTCAATCGGATTTAAATCTCTTTCAGATCGAACCTAATCAGAATCTTCAGTCTGACATGGTTTGACAACACATTTTTGATCTGAGCAGGCCTTCAATCTGATTGTGCCCATGTAAACATAACTACTGTGTTAAAAAATGCCATGCTTTTGTTCTGAACCAGGCTTTTTCATTAACAGAAGGTGCAAACTACAAAAGAGGAACGAGTTTTCTGGCCGTTTGTTCTAACAAATTGTAAAATAACTTCTGCCTTAAAAGTCTGCCTGGTTGGGTTATTATATTCAATGATCCACAAAGTGGACAATTAACTGTTGAAGGGATCTACGACTAGTTGAAAATGTTCCCCTAAATATGTTGTCATATTCTTATTAGTTAAAAAATTTCTGTTTGTCATATTTGAAAACGTAATTTACATAAACTATAAAATTTATATTTTTCCTCAACGTAGGCTGCCATTTTTTCACTTGTGCAATGCATGCTGGGTTGATGACTGTGTTAGGTCTTACTGGACTAGAACCTACAAAGCAAACAACGGAAGGCTAACATTAGCAGAGCTGTTTTCGATTTGATCATGTTTGACTGATGTAAATTTGGACAATGTGACACTGCTTTGTTAAACTAATCATGGATCCCTTCAAAGCAACACAGTTAGCTTTTAGCCACTAAAGGCTATAGATCAATGCATTTTCAAATTATTCCTAAGTGTTGCATGACTTTACACGAGTGAATAAAGTGAATGTGATTGGTTATCAAGGGGACGGGTTGTTGTGGCGGAAGGTTCACAAGCAAGTTTGTCGGAAGCATCTTGCTAACCAGTTAGCACCTTAGTGCTAGTAGGTTCCCAGTGGGAAATTCCATTGGGAACCTACTAGCACTAAATTGGTGACTTGCAAGACATGCAAGAGGAGGAGAGTTTAGTGTCGGAGGTCATGGATGAGTCTCCTCTGTCATACATTTTTTATTTAGAGGAGGAAAGCGGGGATGAAGATGTTGTGGAAGAGGACGCCAGGGCTGCAGAAGCTTGGTTTGGTGTAGAAGGCTTCCAGCCGTACATGTTTGAGCCCTTGCCTCGCAACGCTGCCAGTTCTGTTAGCTCTACGCCTGCTGAAGACACAGACGTCCATCCCCGTGAACACTGGGACGGAACTCAATGGGAAAGGAAATTATTCTTATTTCAACCGTTGGATATATTGGCTGCGACATATGAATCAAAATGCTATGGCCGAAAAAATGTGATTGACAGATGACGCTTGGTATATTATTGGCTGAATTTAGGTGTTCAGGCTGATGTTTAACTTACTGGCCTGCATAAGATAACAAAACACAGATTTTAAGACAGGATTATTTTTTTTTTATACAAATTTTCAAAATTTTGGGACAATATCATCTGATAAAGAGTACATTTATATACATGTTTAAGACAGAATGATTTGACGTAAATATGACTTCCCTGCGACTTTAAATATGTTTTTTTCTTTTTTGCAATACACAGATATCACTCCCACTTTAAACTGGGCTCATATAGTGTGTTCATTTTGCAAATCAATGTTGTTTCTTTGTTTGTTCAGCTATTTGACCCCAAATGTTTCATAAATGTTGAGTGAGTAAAACAAAATAACATTGAGTACTGTCAGGGTTTGGTTGTGGTAGAGGACCCAAATGCAGAGAGGCTGAGGAGATTTCTTGGGAGTTTAAAGGGGGCAAAAACAGTAACAAAGGCAGGAATGCAAAAATCCAACTAATAATCAAAGCAAACCAGAACTATGGAGACATCTGGGGGAAACCAAACACGAGGAACCAGGGAGAGACGAGGAACGTGGACAACAGCACGGGAGGACAGCAAAGACAAGGAACCAACAAAGAGTGAGAGCAGAGGGAGAACATATATAGGAGACAGAGACAAAGGGAGGGCTAACGAGCAGACAAGGAACAGGTGTGATAGGAGACAAAGAGGGAGCCAAGGGGAAAGGAACATACACACACAAGAGGGCAAAAGAGGACAACAGAAAAACTTGAGAACTAATATAAATCTAGAAATACAACAAAACTGGAATTAGGCTAATAAATCTAGAAAACAAGGAGCAAAGAAAAGAACAGCAGAACCAAGACCATGA